GATAAAGAACGGGGATGTGACCGGAATGTTTATATCTGTACACAGGTTTAATCTTCAGCTTCACATGTAGCGATAAAGTTTTGGAGAGCATATTTTATTTTTTTGGTAAAGGACTCCCGAATTACCTGCCTTCAAATGATACAACTTCCGCACCTTTAGGTAAATTGCATAACATGATTGGGGAAGTTGTGCTTATATTTTTGGTCATACAGTAAGTTGCATCGCAAGCAAGCGGAAGTCGCTACGATATATAGACTAAGTGCACCAGCTTTTGCCAAGCTGTAATTCGTCGTGACTGCGCCATGAAAATATTTGCTTTTTATCAAAAAACGTTTGTTTCATCATCGCTGCCACATCGGTTTCAGCCGCTCATGTAGAACTCATGGATGTAGATGGTAATGCAAGTGTCAAGTTGTTGCATGGATGACAATGAGCCATGACGATCGTATCAGTGAACATTGACATTAAGTCAGTCAATGACATATTGCCAGTTAATTGGACCGCTGTTACAACATGCCACATACATAACTGATGCAGTATGTATTACCCGACACCTTGGAAGAAAGTTTGCCCCACCCCGAAATTCTTGGCAAGCCGCCGCCAAATGTTTTGCGGTTATATGACGCATGTATTTTCCCACCACCCAAAATAGCAATCAGATTGGTTTAGCTCTGCCGTGAGTCCTCAAGCACACTTTAACACCGATGGCTTTTATTTTTAACAATATGTAGAACAAGTGTTTGTCGTACTCACCCCAAAACGAGTACACGATTGCAACCGGGTGTACACTGAGAGGTAGACGGGGCTGTCGTGCGTCCGCTGAGCGACCCAAGGCTGCCATCCATTGCAGATATTGGAATTGATGCTACTTGGGCGTGATGGAAGTCACCCCACTCTCCCCTATCTGCAGTTGAGTGGTCCTGCTAGCTATGAAGGATGTGAGACTGGGCATGGAATAGCTTCAGAAAAGCGCCATAGCCAAGGATGCGTACGCAAATAAAAAGGAACCGCGGAAAAGTGTACGAGAACGACACTGAAATTGGTCAAAACATGCGCACATAGCCATCGTCAGTTTTTAATGCGCGCATAAATTAACCAACCACCTTGCAGTGGGTTGAAGTAGTTCAAGTGAATCAATCCGTCCGCTACAGTGGCAGTTCTGACACGACCAGTCTAGCTGCAACTCTGACGTCATTAAAACGCTCTATGCCGTGATAAGCGACGACGCATTGAGGAGTGTATTTACCAAATCAATAATTTTTATCTGGAGCAGCAAATAGTTACAAGTGCTATTTTCCATCATATCCAATACGCGTCTAAATACCTTCAAATGTGAAACATCGTCTTCGAAGGCGGGTGTTCAGTGCTTGCATATTTTTTAATTGAAATAACCATTTTTAAGACCATTCAGTGCAGTTTACAATCCTACCCTTCTCAAGATCTAATAATAGCGTCATTCAAATCCTGTCATTTCATTAGCCATGCGGTGATCAAGGCCAAGAAAAGCAGAATAGTCGGGCCCTTCATATGTGGCGTTCGTGAGCACAATTTCCAGATCTAACGGCAACCATTTTGCCCTCAAGCAATGTTGTGCAAGGCACGGTGACGTAATCAAACAATGACGCATCGAGGAACATATTTAATAAACAGGGCAACTGTGTTTTCTAGAGCAGTCTTCTCCACTCTCCACTTAAGAATATACAATTAGTTATTAGTGAGTTTATGTCATTATATTTGATGCGTATCTCAATAAATTCAAACTTGGAGTCCTCGCTTTAAGGAATGTAATCGCCCAGTTTTCTTTTGTTTTCTATGAGATGCAAGCTTTTTTGGCTCTTGCAGGCCATTTTTGAAACCAAAAAATTAAGAAAGAAGGCACAAGCTGGAGCGCTATCTCATCCAGTCGCTCCAGCGCCTGGCGCTGTACGGGTGCTTTGACGGTGGCTGAGACTGTGGGGAGCCGTGGCCATCATTTCCGTGGATGGCTGCTGTAAAGGCGACATGTAACCGGGCCTGTCAGAGGGTATAAATTCATGTGAAGACGACTGAAGCGAGAATGTTGCCTGCGCAACTTCAGTTCCCATGTAGTTAGACAGCTCGCGAGTATAGCCAATCAGGCAAGTTTCACAAGTCAGAAGAAAATTACGCCAAAACAACAAAAACTAACGTGTGAAAACCTCTACAAAAACTAAGTAAACAAAAAAATTATACCAGAAGGAAAAACAGCATATGTGCTCAACCTCCTTTGTCCCAGGATGCATTCAGCTAGAACAACATGAGACATAGATCCAGAAATACGAGATTAACCATGAACGTATGCAGGGTTGAGCCATCGGAGGGGCAGAACTCAAGGTCTGCCGCTGAAAGCATGTTAAACGCGACACAGACGTGCCAAATTTTTTGCATGACAAAATAGCATTGCAAACCTTTGATGTACATTTCTTTACGCATCGACTTGAATTTCTTAATGTTGAAATGTAGTCGCATTCACTCAAATACATGTACAAAATTTGTTGAGAGGAGCGCGTGGCGCCGGGGACCACTATGTGCGTACACCCCTGTTATAATTATAGGCTAGTAACAAGGCTGGTCTTGTATAGTGCGCAATGCATGACGAGTCCTTGAACATTAGGGCAAATATATGGTATTGGAAGTTTGTTTACCCTCGCTAGAGCACATCTCGTGCAAAGTCTTCATCCTTGTTTTGTCCCAACTTCCTTTCCATTTGAATGTCCCGCAGCGTCAGCTTACCGAGCTATAAACTTATTTGGAGTGCTCTTCACGGCACAAATGGAAGTCAACATTTTGCAAAGCGGCACGACGCATTTTCTGAGCCTTTCCGGGTACCTGAAATAACCTGAGGTAGTATTCCTGCTTCTGTAAATGCTACCAACGTGTCAATAGCAATGAAGTAATTTAAAAAGGTTGTGCAGCGTACGCCTACGTGCAATTTTTTTTTTAAGGACGCCAGCAGCTACGGCGGTCATTTTAGCGCTCGGAACAAAAAAAGGTCAGACGGCAATTTAACCCGACCCACAGGCCAAATACGTATCCAACTAGGGCGTTCCCACCCCTTCGATGCTAGTGTTGCGAAGGATAATCAACAATCATTTCCTTGTGAAAACAAGGAAATCTCGTTTCGTGCGACACAACAAGGTCATGTTAAAGGAAACGTTTCACATCTGAAGATTCTGAAGCAATCATTAGATACGATGAAGCAAGCTCACTTGCAACTATTGGTGTGATTTTTGTGTGGAAAAGACTGCTCCAGGCAGCAAAATTCTCTGTTTAGTAAGCACTCTCCTCAAAGCGTCATGCTTTGATTGTCATCGTATCTTGCACAACATTAGTTGGGAGCCAATTGACGGTAGTTAACCTGGAAATCGCGCTCACGAATGCCAGATATGAACGCCTCGACAATTATATTTTTCTTGGCCTTGATCGCCGCATGACTTATGGAATGGTGGAATTTGAATGACGTTATTATGACGTCACGAATGCCAAGGTGACTTTGAAACACTCCGCCCGATATACCTTTCCCCATTTTCGCGGGTGTGGGGCTCAGAAACCAGAGGAGCTTAGGTCGTAAGAAGGGCAGGTGTGAGCAGCACTGAAATTGTGATTGCGAGCAGTGTGATTGTGAACAGTGTGAACGTAATTGTGAACTGCACTGAAAGGTCTTCAATGTGGGTATTTCAGTTCAGAACTCCATGTAAATGTGGAGCACTCTCCTTAAACTTTCACAAATCGCCGGAAATCTTTGTCAGTTCCCACCTATCTTCATGTAACTATGAATGAGCTGGGGAAACGAAACACCACGCACTGTTCCTTTCCAAACGCGCCTTAGGGTGCATGTGTCGTGTTCCACACTGGCTGCTCATCCCTCCAAGTTCATAATACTTGCATGATTGACCCCTCCACGCTACAGGTGATCAAATCAAATCCAAACAGTGGAGTCCATCGATGAATGAGCAATACTTTAAATGATATTTTCATCCAACGCACTCTTCAATACTTTTGGTATTAATGATGGAATGTATTGGCATTGGTGTTAAAAGGCCTCTCATCTGCTTACTTTAGGCCCAACATTCATGTAAATCGTGAAACATCAACGACTTGGAGTGCCTACTTCAAGCGTTAACTTCTCAGCACTACAATGTAACCCACGGTGCTCACATCGCTGTTCTGCGGGGTACACTTGATCTGAGTTTGTTCAGCTCGAATAGGAGAGCTGCATGAAGTTGTAGAAGAAACCTCGTCGTTGGTTCTGGGTGATGGCTTTAGCTTGGACCCATCGTTGATGCCGCTGCTTGCTTAACTTAGCACCTGGAAGCTTTGAAAGCTTTGTTTCGTTTCGAGTAAGCCCCATCCGTGGGTACGTTAGGCAAGACACCAAAACACAATTGCACATGAGTTAAGTCAAGGAGAGGCCATGTCCACTCGAATGATGGATGCCGCAAATGCATGCGTGTTGCGTGACTCGCGTGCAGCTGATATGTAGCTACGCGCCAAATGCGGGTCGGACCTATGATCGTGGCACTCTTACTTCAGCTGGTGTCAGGCCATTAGGAGGCAAGCCCAATCTGTCCTCCGCATTGTGTTCAATCTGTCCCCACCGCCACACCATGGCATGGGCCTGGCTCGGCTAGCGAGCACGGCTGTTTGACAGGTTCCATGGCGCCTGCTAGACATCCCGTGGCCGCCCATTTCCATATGGATAAAGACCGCCGCAGCGCGGAGCGCGGGCTACCACATTTAGCAAGCTGAATGCGTCCACTGCGGCCCGGGCAAGGCTTCTCCGCCGGCCGGCCAGGTCAAGGGTCACGTAGATCGGGGGGGGGGGGGCACCCCCCGGCGGCACGAGCCCTGCTGGCGGTGAGCGTTACAGGCCGTCTCCGGCCAGGACACCGCGTGAGGCTGCGGCTTGACCCCGACCGGCCGCTGACGGCGCGCCGGCCCGGCTCGTCTCCGGCATGTACCCGGCCGACCGGAGCAGTCTGCGTGCCTCCGCCTCCGCCGGCCGGCCCGAGGTGAGTGACCGCCACGCCGAGCTTTTTCGCTGCCGGTGCTCAGCAGTCTGAGTCCAATGACTCACGGGATCCGTGCATATTGGCTCGGCGCGGTGCGTGGACAGCTGTAGCCCCGGCGTTCGAGCGGCCTGCGGACGGTGCGCGGCCGCTCCGACGCTGGGAGCGTGCGTTGCCCTGGCAAGCGCGGCCGACCGGGGTCATGATGCCCTCGGCGGAAGCGCCTGTGCGCCGCGCGGGTGCTGCCGTCGCACCGCCATTCAGAGGCTGAATAGAGCCGGCGGACGGGTTGTCACGACGCCGGGGGAGGGAGGAAGGGAGGGAGGGAGCGCCGTCCCAGCGCAGATGTTGATGGACTGAGCGTCTCCGGTAGTCTCCCGCGGAGGGCCAGGGGGTTGGTCGATGGGCCTACCGTCTCTGACATTCTCGGCAGTCTCCTCGGTTTCCTGGGTAAGTCAGCCGTGGCAAACTAACTGTCTCTGACAGCCTCTGCCTGTGTTCCAGTGGGCGCGCGGGCCAGATTGTGTTTAGGTGTCGGCGCCATTCGGCAAAGTGACAGTTTTCTGGCCGTCCCAGGTGTCTCGGCGGGCCTCTGGCGGACCAGCCATCTCCGTCAGTCCCCCTGAGTCTCGGCAGACCGCCGTTGGGCCAGCCATCTCCTTCAGTCCCCCAGAGTCTCGGCGGGCCGCCGGTGGACCAGCCATCTCCGTCAGTCCCCCTGAGTCTCGGCTGGCCGCCGGTGGGCCGACCATCTCCGTCAGTCCCCCAGAGTCTCGGCGGGCCGCTGGTGGACCAGCCATCTCCGTCAGTCCCCCAGAGTCTCGGCGGGCCGCTGGTGGGCCGACCGTCTGCCCGCCGCTCGGCCGTCGGTCGCTCGATACAGGCGGCGCCGGAGGTGTCCGTGCAACAGCTGCACGTGCCAAATCATCAATCACCGGAGGCCCGGGCGCTATTGATCTCGGCCTGGTTCACACCGCCGCCGCCACGGCCGGCCTAGCCGGGCCAGGCCGATCCGGTGTCAACAGGTCGACCACTGCACCCGAAACAGGGACGGACCAGAGCCGACGCGTGGCCAACCAAGCGGGTGTTTCGCCCCTCGCGACAGGATAGCATGTCCGGTGGGGGTGTTGGGAGTATGTTGGCAGCAGGGGACAGGGCGCATGTAGGTGCGTAGAGGTGCTGGCTAAAACGCAAAGTATAACCCCGTAAGTTGTGGGTCGAAGCCGCAGGAAGTGCGGCCTGTGATGGCAGTTTTGCCGTTTTGCTCATTGAGATCATTTGCGAACACGCGCATTTTGTTGGACCACGGTGATCGCGCCCTCCGGCTTGCAGTCACTGTCTTCGCGCACTGTCCATCCCTTGGGGCGATGGGATCGGCCGTAATCCTCGCCCCGCCAAAGCGCAGACTAATTATACTCAGGCCTTGTCGCACTAATGGTCTATTGATTGGTGGGCGGTCGTGACAGACGAGTTTCGTCTCGAGCGGTGGCGTCGCTCGATAATTGCAGTTCTAGTGCCGAGATCATCGACATCGTGGCCATTAGCCGCTTACGGTTCATGTATCTCGATAATTCGGTGCGGACCATTTTGGCGTGGGCGGTGTATTTTAGAGTAGCGTCCTTATTGGTTTATTCGGCGATGGTGGTATGCTAATGACATTATTAAGAGGAGATCCGCATAGTTTTTGGTATGGGCATAGCTCTCGAGCACTTGATTAGGACGTCAGCCTTCATCTCCATCCATTTCAAGGTTTTCCATGAAATGTGTTCCTTTCATCGTCCAAAATATTAGTTTCATTAATGTAGATTATAATCTTTGGTTTGGAACAAAATAACGTGTCGGTACCCAACATCTTAAAGTATATTTTGCAAGCAGAGAGATCGAAGACGTAGAAAACAAGCTACTGCTCACAGATAGGGTAACTGTTCAGTCTATCGCCCTTACTTGGTGTGTTAGGATGTACCGGCCATCGTTCTCTATTGGTCAGAATGAAAGAGGGCAGAAAGGCAACGATCTGGGACACATCATCAGGTGTTTTTCGGGCCTTAGAAGGCTCGGAGAGAGCTTGGCTTTCAGCCAGGTATGAGCCACAGCCCGAATTATCTCCTCGACATTGCATTGCTGGGATTCGAACTGGGGTCTTCTGAATGCCGGTCCAGCGTTCTCCCAGCTAAGGAAATCGGACATATGGCGTCATTCATCTCCTGGCTTTACGAAAATTTCTCCGCGGAATTGACTAAAAAATAGGGCTGATATCTACGCTTGGCTTACTGTTGGGTCTGATAGCCCATGACATGTGTGCTGCCTCTTTGATCTCTCCAACTTTCCAGAATTGCTCTCCGTGGATGATAATTACCTCATGCCATTTTGGTTCGTGGTCTCCGTCTGACATGCGCGCTCTGCCACACCGCACTTCCAGTCCCACATCTGTGTTGGGTTTTTGAGCTGGGATAGCCATGCTCGTGACCATTCACTGCAGTTCAAAGCCAATCTTTTTAGAAAAAATAAAATCGTCTTGTTTCTGGGCTCGATGCTTGCACATCGCCGAACCGCATGTGACGTCCGGCCGACGGGAAAGTCACCCAAAACATGCAGGACGTCATAGAAACATTACACGAGCACCCAACTTCATTAGCTGTTTTGTGTTCATGGTCAATAAAAGCACGGCCGCTCAAGCATTCGGATTTAAAGAGTGTTTCACATTTGTATGACATTATGAACCGAAATAGCCACTTAAGAGATCATTTGGTGCAGGTCCTAGCCCTGTCCTTGTTAAAACGTGAAAATGTTCTAGTTTCTGAGCTACATGCTCGCGCAGATGTTAGACTTTTTCGTGGAGACTATTTGAAGGTTACCCAGACGTCCACGTGTCATAATGACGTCATTCAGACGCGGCCATTCCACTGGTCATGCGGCGTTCAAGGTCAATAAAACATAATTGTCGCGTCGTCCATATCAGGCGTCCGTGATCACGATTTCCCGAGATAACGGCCGTCAGTTCGGTGTGAACCAATGTTGTGCAAGCTGCACGAGATTCCAACACAACTTGGCTATTTGGATTATCGCCCTTTTGACCGTAATTGGTCATTTCAGGACTGTGGAATGAAGCAAACCGAATAACGGTACAGCACGATTACACGCGCCTAGCGGGGGGAGGGAGAGTGAAAACCTGTTGAGTTTAGCCCGCGCGGGTTCCCTCCGCAGGGCGTGCGCTTGGCACGCGGTCGGGGTCCCCCCGGGGGCCTCTCGACCTACTTGCGGTGGGTGTATTCCACCCAACCGAGACACGCGAAACGTGGTGAGGATCCAAGATGAAGCACGGAAGGAAATATGGGTGTCGAAATGCGTACCACGAATTTCGTTTTACAGAACATTTACATTCATAGCGTTCTACGTGCCGGTGCAGCGGTACATTCTTCCTAGTTATCGCGCAAGCCACACTTGCAATTGGATAACTTGACAACAACACTATAACTGAGTATGTGAATATAAGTAAGCACCGAAAATCACGGACAAGTATGGAAGAACACCACGAGAAAACAGCCAATACGCGAACACCTAACGATATTTGGCTCAGCACTCACCCAGCACCACCTCGGAGCACCTCTAGGCAGATTGAGGAACTACACGTGAGTGCTATCACACAAACATTCCGCGCGCAATCACACGATGAACTGAGGAGTGTACTTCGAAATACACAAATGTTGTGATCTAGGGCTCTATTTTCCATTAAAGAGTTTACCAATGGTTATAACTGAGCTTATTCTATCGTAGCTGACGCTTATTTCAATATTTTCAAATGTGGAACATTCCATTTATGGTGATGTATAACCCAAAATCCCAAAGACGGAATGCAATTGGCTTTTAGTCAGATTTCGCTGCTGATTGCATGTTTCGAACGCGAACCGCGTTTAACCATCACATACACAGGTATCCAGCTGTTTTTAACCTGCGCCTAATGTCTGGTGAGCCCAGTTTTCTTCCCCGCTGTTGCAACGCAATTATCAGTCGCAACGCAAATACGCGATAAAGCAAATGTGATATGGGATTGCTGTATAACATGACAGAGCATGCAGCTTTGCTGATGGAACAGATGCGGCGAGCAGATTCGAATAAAGGCTTCGAAGGCGGCGTTATAGGAAAATCTTGACACAATATTCAACGCTGGGATATTGGTCTGACAAGATGGCCGCGTGGTATCGTCTTTGGAGGTCACAACTGTCTGAGAACATAAAGCCATTACCTGGGCTGTTTCAGGAACGGCGTACGTCTCGCGACATTAAAAACAATATATATATATATATATATATATATATATATATATATAATGCCGAGCTACCGCAAGACGTTCCCCGCACTTGCTGTCAGGTAGGGCTGGTGAGCTGGGTGGGGGGGGGGGGGGAAGGAGCAGATGCCGTTGGCAGGCCTTGGAACCTGAGCAGGGGGGCTCACTTAACGTCTTCAACGTGGTACGAAAGGCGAAAATATATTATTTTGTCATAGATGGTGATGTATGCCATTATCTACTAACGTACTGATTAGTCATGGAATCCAGCTTTCAAGACAAAAGGAACCGATAAGCTGTTTAACGAACGCTGTGAATTCTTGTCGCTGGATTGGAGTTTGGGATGGTGGTTGGAACTCTGAACGTTTTTATGTTGTGAATAGGCGGCTGTTAGGATAAATACAAGTCACATTTTTGGCAAAGACATCGATCATTTTAAGCACATCTTCCAGTTATTATCACTACGCAGAGGCTAATTGGTATAAAAGCTGCACTAACTGCATTCTGCCTGCGACAGTCCGGGCCTCCACTGTTGGCGGTGGTGGCGTGTCCACCGTCACAGTTGACGGTGGTCACAGGCGGGCCATCGGCATTGCCCGTGATGCTGGGCTCCGATTGTCACAGTTGACGGTGGTCACAGGCGGGCCATCGGCATTGCCCGTGATGCTGGGCCCCGATTGTCACAGTTGACGGTGGTCACAGGCGGGCCGTCGGCATTGGCCGTGATGCTGGGCTCCGATTGTCACAGTTGACGGTGGTCACAGGCGGGCCATTGGCATCGGCCGTGATGCTGGGCTCCGATCGTCACAGTTGACGGTAGTCACAGGCGGGCCATCGGCATCGGCCGTGATGCTGGGCTCCGATTGTCACAGTTGACGGTGGTCACAGGCGGGCCATCGGCATTGCCCGTGATGCTGGGCTCCGATTGTCACAGTTGACGGTGGTCACAGGCGGGCCATCGACATTGCCCGTGATGCTGGGCTCCGATTGTCACAGTTGACGATGGTCACAGGCGGGCCATCGGCATTGCCCGTGATGCTGGGCTCCGATCGTCACAGTTGACGATGGTCACAGGCGGGCCATCGGCATTGGCCGTGATGCTGGGCTCCGATCGTCACAGGTGATGGGGGTGTCGGTTGGAAGGTCATCTCGCTGATATTTGTGGCGGTGCTTCCAACCCGCCCACCACATCGGGAGGCTGCGACGCTATCCGTCAATGGTGCGAACGTGACGACTCCATCATTTGTCACCACGAACGTGACGGCTCCATCATTTGTCACCACGGTCAGGTGATGGTGATTCTGGCTGTTACAACTGACGGTGACGGGTTGATCATTACAGCTGGCTGTAGTGACGGGTGGGCGGTTGCGGGTAGCGACTCTGTTGGAATCCGCGTTTGATTGTAATTAGTTGTCATATGTTCACGCCTATGTAAGTAGCCATCTACCATGCGTGAAGACTGGGTGCCATGGGTCGGTACAGAACATGTACATACATACAAGGAGGGTAATATGCTGGTGACCCCGGGTTGGTTTTGGTGCCAAACTCAGTAATGCTTGCTAGTGCAACACCTCATACCATACCATACCACATCATACCGCCGGCCGCAGTTCAATGCCATATAAATGTGGACACGGAAATCGTATGGGGGGGGGGGAGGGGCTCTACGAAACGATGGCTGGGACGACAGGCTTAATCTCAGTCTCGTCAGGTTCTAATGGATTGTGCATTAGAAAAAAGGACACGATGAACATCCTACCTGGATCCAAATGTGGCAGAAGCATGTGTATCATGTTACCGGGTGGTACCAAGTACCGAGGATTGATATGAAATTCTACGTTGTAGAACACATTGCAAGTTGTTCCGCTAAATGGTCGTCAATCCACACGTTTTTGCAGCGTTTATTTCATTTTAGACTTGAAGCATTCGTTTGCTTGTGAAAGTGGTTTTCCGAACTCCCTCCAGCAGCGGAAACTGATGTTTTGTGTCGGAACTTACTCATGGCCGCTTTCATGGCCACTTACTCATGGCCGCTGGCGCTATTTCGTCTTTTCCCAAGCCGTCATAGCTGTACGATGGAGCTCAAGCGCGTCACAAAGTTAAGCGTCACGCGAGTGCGATAAGATGTCATGAACACGTAGCAGCATTAATGCCGCGTGCCAGTGTGTTCAGCGCCCGGAGGCAGCTGGACGGTGCTATTCATCCCTATAGGAAATTTAGAGCCAGCGTTAGACATCCAATCCGTTGTATGCAAAAGTCCCGCATCGGAGACTTCGTGCTCGGGTTCTCGATGGAGTACCTTCCAAAACTTGCCTTTGCTGATTGGCATTTCCCACTGTGGACCTGCCGCGGACCCTGAAAGCCTGTCACGGACGGACGTCATGCTGACGCGTTCCATCAAACTTGCACGCCTCGGGGGAGCAGCCGAGCGGTGTCCATTTTAGCCTGATGGCGGCGGCCAGCGCCGCTGACGCCGGTCAGGTGGGGTACTGTCGGCGGTGGCAGGCGGACATCACGGGCTACTGGCGGCGGCGCGTCAGCCGGTCCGGCAGGCACGCAGCTCCGCCACCGCCAGACTCTGAGCGCCTGGTGCAGACACTGGGGACGGCCTCGGATGCCAGGCGGGTCCCGACGAGTGTTCGGGACAGGGACGTGCCTGCGCCAGAGATGTAGCTCGACACCGCTTCGATGTTGCACTGCCCAGCCGCCGTCGTTCCAACGCGTCCGCTCGGCCATCCCATCCGCACTATAGCTCACAGTAACTGGACAGCCGCCGTCGCTCCAACGCGTCCGCTCGGCCGTCCCACCCGCACTATAGCTCACAGTAACTGGACTGGAAGGCAACCTTTGCATGCCATTTGCAGCCACATCGCTTAGCCATCTGTGAGGGAGGACCTCTGCTTTGCAGGTCAGCCTCGCGTTTACGTCCGGCGGGCGAGAAAGCCGCTCGTGGACCTGCAGATGTCGCGACTCTCGATCATCTCCAGCAGACGCCGCGGGGGTCGCGCTGAGGACACATTCCAGCTGCCCCAGCTGGGGTCACCGTTTCAGGTCAGGATGTGGGATGGGGATGGGGGATGGGGTTGGGGTGGGGGTGGGGGGTGGGGGGTGGGGGTGGGGGCAGGTCGGGAAGTTCGAATCAGAGGCGATGCATGGATTGGAATGCAATCAGTCTTGACCAGGGGCGGAGCGTCAGGGCTGACAAACGGCCCTCGGATGGAGGAAGCCCCCCCCCCCCAAGTGGCTGAATATGCCTTGTTTATGAGAGGCACGGTTTTCTTTGCTTTATAATTTTTTACTGGAAAAGAAACAAGAAGCTGCAGCAGGAACAACTCTGTTTGAATTTTAACGTCAGTTAACCGAAAAAATTAGGCGCTTAACAACCGCATGGAATAAATCACCGGCGCTCCTCATTGTACGACTCAATTTATTATTTCTGAGCCAAAAGAACTTCGGTGCTCGTCAAAAAGAACCCGTCAACGCAGTAACCAACGTGCGTTTGTCTGGCAATGTTTCAACGTTCCGCCAGAATCGACGTGAGATAGATTATGCAGCATAACCAGAATCGACTAATGAAATGGACTATTTGACATAGTTTTGAACATGCAGCCTCGTCCATGTCAGCAACAAAAGCCTCGAAGCCAGCGTTGTAGGACCCATAGACCGCGTGACGTCGGCCCCACGGCTAACATTGAGTGGAGGCCAACGGGCAGACGAAAAAGATGACCCATCTGAAAAAGTATTTTTGACTGACACAGGACATCATTTCATAAACTTAAAATGTGGTCCAAGAGTGTATTTCACCGGCGCAGTTTTTCAGTTGATGATAAGAACGGATTAGCCTTTACAGCATTGCGGAGTGGTGCTGGGAATTGTTGGTGTAACTGGAAGAGTAAAGGTGGAATTTCTATGCTTCGTGTTGCTGTGACAGCTTACCTGTCCGAAGGTCAAGCTCAAAATAAAAAAGAGATGCCCCGGGATAATCCTTGAACAGTATGAATTGATTTTGCAGGACATTTAGGGAAATTATTTCACAATGGTCGTTCTCGCGCGCACGGCGCCTGCCGCCTGGTGTTGCCTGCAGCGGCCGACGCCGTTCGGTTTTAAGGAGGCTGCAACGCCGGCCATCCCTGTTCTTGCTCCTGAGACTGTGAACCCATAGGCACAATGCTGCTTGATGTGATTTGTTTCACCAGGCGATTTTTCAATATAATGAACGTTCGCAGGCAGACATGGGATGGCCTTTCCATTTTTTAATTAATTTTGACTCACCCTATTTAATACCAATGGGATTCAGTGAGACCACTGATATACCAATGATACCAATGAAAGCACTCGGAAGCACATTATCGTTGCTGGTAACGGGCTTAAGGGCCATTCCATTCCGTTACAGCGCCAGGTGACTTCCGCCTTCCATTCTTGTGGCCCGGGGGGTGGGGCCCCCTGGTCGACCCCGAGGCCCTTAGCGGGATAAGTCATACCACATTGGCCCCCTCCCAGCCGCAGAAGGCCTTCTGAACAGTGCAGCGAGCACCCGATCGACGCATAAGCCCTCATTGATGCCACAAGGTCCGTGATTGCCGCAGGTTATCCAATTATTGGTGCACAGACTCAAGTCAGGCATAACGGGCACATGGCTGGAATCGGGTTTGCGGGCCCATCGTTCGGTTATGGGCCCTGAATGACACAGGGCCTTTTCGTTTTCTCAATGTAACCCCTGATCTCAAAATATCAATGTAAATCTAATCTCAAATCAATGTACACTCAATCATAAGCTATCATGTTTTCTTTCATTGAGGGCACTAGGGCGAGAGGCCCTATGGTATTCGGGGTCCCGTCTCCGTCTCTGTTCAGCAATCCGTCTCCGTCCCTGTTCCCATGTCCCAATCGAGGCCCCTGGCTGACGCAGGACACACTGCTAGGCACCGTGGGTCAGTAACCGACACCGGGCCCCGCATTTTACGGGGCTCCGACCAGTGAAAATCGCGGGTCCGGCCTGGTCCCTGTTCGGGAAAGTAGCCCCCAGAGCTCAGACCGACACGTAGCCAACGTTGGATGTCGACGGTCTCTGACTGACATAAAAGCCGGTACTGTCTCTGAGTCCTCAGTCGATGCAAAAGGCCCTCTGACTGATATTTCAGGCCACGGTCCTACGAGCCGGGACCCTTCATGAGATCCACAGCCAGCTCCTCACCCCTCAGCCTCCAATCGGGCCCTGAACGTCGGTGCCGGCGGACTCCTCGGGCCCGTCTTCAGACGTCGTTAAACTCTGTCTTTGGTCGATTCGGGGCTTGCAAGGATCCCCGTGAGGCACTGTGGGTCTCTGAAAGATGCAGGACAGTGACCAATGGAAATCGCTGGCCCGGCTTTCTCGCTGCTTTGGAAGTGGGCCCTCACACCCCTAACACGGAACCGATTGTGTGATACTGGTGGTGTCTGACCGATATATAGGTCCTCATCGACTCAGGGGGTCGCCAATCGGGACAAAGGCCATCTGACTGAGGTCCCGTCCCCGCAGGCCGGGCCACGAATAAAAATCCGGCCAGCCCTACATGCCCTTAGGCGTTCCAATCGGGCCCTTGATCGTCGGCCCAGGTCCGCCTTCCAGGCTTTCTTCGGGTCACCTGGAACCCTGGCTCTGGCCCACTCGGGGCCTCTTGGCAAATGGGTTCCCTGTTAAACGCTATGGGTCTCTGACCGACGCTGGGGTCCCGACCGACGTATAAGGCTCATGCCGACACGGAGCCGACTGCGCATTACTGGTGGTTTCTGAGTAATATATTCTGACCTTATCGACTCACTGGCCTCCCGATCGGCGGGCAGGGTCCTCCGGCTGGTAATTAAGTGCCCGGTACTGCGAGCCGGGGATCCTGAACAAGACCTTCAACAGGCCTTTTGGACACTTCGACACTCAAATTGGACCCTAATTGTCATTCGGGCCCGTGGGGACCTAAGGGTGGAGTGAGAAGGGGCGGGGGCACGTGCCCTTGTGCCCCTTGCTTGCACCACGGACTTAACGTATGCTTCATCTCACACGCAGCTTTTAAAGGGGCGCTTTGACCATTCGTGTCACCAGGCCTTGTTGCGGAAATACCCCGAGTAGGTCACAGTTAATGTCGCGCAGTCAGACCGGCGAAGGTCCAGGGTGAGTCGTACTACAATAACTAATCCCCATTCGCTGTGGCGGACCGCGTTTGATGTCAATGGGCGGGCAGCACGCCAGATCTGACGAGGCCCTATACCCTCCAACGCTCCAGCTCTGACGAGGCTCTATACCCTCCAACACTCCAGCTCTGACGAGACCTAGTACCCTCCAACACTCCAGCTCTGAAGAGGCCCCGTACCCTCCAACACTCCAGCTCTGACGAGGCCCCGCACCCTCCAACACTCCAGCTCTGACAAGGCCCTGTGCCCTCCGACGCTCCAGTTCTGACGAGGCCTTGTACCCTCCGACGCTCCAGCTCTGACGGGGCCCTGTACACCCCGACACTCCATGCCTGCCGAGCCCCCATACCCTCCGACATTCCACACCGCCATAGCTGCGTTCAGCGCTGCCTCACCGCCCGCCGCGACCGCGCCTGCCTGTGACGATGACCGTCCTCCCTCCATCGGACCCGACGCCCGTCCTCCCTTCATCAGACCCGACTGCCGTCCTCCCTCCATCGGATCCGACGACCGTCCTCCCTCCATCGGACCCGAAGTTCATTCTCCCTCCATCGGACCCGACGCCCGTCCTCCCTCCATCAGATCCGACGACCGTCCTCTCTCCATCGGACCCGAAGACCGTCCTCCCCTCCATCGGACCCGACGACCGTCCTCCCTCCATCGGATCCGACGCCCGTCCTCCCTTCATCAGACCCGACTGCCTTCCTCCCTCCATCGGATCCGACGACCGTCCTCCCTCCATCGGACCCGAAGTTCATTCTCCCTCCATCGGACCCAACGCCCGTCCTCCCTCCATCAGATCTGACGACCGTCCTCTCTCCATCGGACCCGAAGACCGTCCTCCCTCCATCGGACTCGACGACCGTCCTCCCTCCATCGGATCCGACGCCCGACCTCCCTTCATCAGACCCGACTGCCGTCCTCCTTCATCAGACCCGACTGCCGTCCTCCCTCCATCGGATCCGACGACCGTCCTCCCTCCATTGGACCCGAAGTTCATTCTCCCTCCATCGGACCCGACGCCCGCCCTCCCTCCATCAGATCCGATAACCGTCCTCTCTCCATCGGACCCAAAGACCATCATCCCTCCATCGGACCCGACGACCGTCCTTCCTCCATCGGATCCGACGTTGCCGAGGTTGCATGCGCCGAGGCCGAGCTCTGGTCGCGTGTCTCTGCAGCCGCCCGGCGGCCTTAGGTGGCTGCTCCTCTTCCCGCGCTGCCGCCCGTTTGTCTCGACCGCATGCAGATGCGACCAGCGGCGCCATGTCGGCCGGCCCGGGCCGGGCTGATAGCGCGTCTGATTCGATTAGGACCAGTGGAGACACCCCACCGGCACTGCCGCCACCTGTTCGCGCCTTTTTTACGGCACCACACGGGGCCACGTGCGCTGCCAAACCGCCCGCCGACCGCCACCAACGCGCCAGCCCGCCGGCGTGGTTGTTTTCCAGGCTCGCGAGATTAATGGTGTGTAGGTTGCGGCGTGATGTAAATTCTTTCGTTCTGTTTTTTCCTTGTTTGTGTCACTGTATGAATGGTGGGCCTATTAACAAATGCTATGGACAAAGGGTATCTTTTTTCCATTATTGGTCGCCTTGGGATTATCGCAAGCATTAGTTTTTTTGCCGCAGAAACACGTCATTATTCCTTCTATCGACGGCGAGCAGAGGAACCAAGTAACCATGGGTCAATGGTGATTAGGCGGTCATGACCCCGCATTAACACACACACACACACACACACCACACACAACACACACACACACACACACACACACACACACCACACCACACACACACACACACACACACACAACACACACACACACACACACACACACACACACACACACACACACACACACACACCACACACACACACACACACACACCACACACACACACACACACACACACACACACACACACACACACACACACACACACACCACACACACACACACACACACACACACACCACACACACACAACACACACACACCACAACACACACACACACACACACACACACACACACACACACACACACACACACACACACACACACACACACACCACACACACACACACACACACACACACACACACACACACACACACACACACACACACACACACACACACACACACACACACACACACACACACACACACACACACACACACACACACACACACCACACACACCACACACACACAACACACACACACACACACACACACACACACACACACACACACACACACACACCACACACACACACACACACACACACACACACACACACACACACACACACACACACACACACACACACACACACACATACACGCATGCACGCACTCACGCGCACACACGCACGCACGCACGCACGCACACCACACACACACACACGCACGCACGCACGCACGCACGCACGCACGCAGTTTCGCTGCCATTGGAGCAGCTTTTGCTCATAACCTTATACCTTAACACACCAGAAGTCATAGTGGCCAATCATGGCATGCTATTTATAAAACGTTTCAAGTCAGCGCATGCTGCTGTGAGACAGAGACAATTAAGGATGGAAGTACCGGTTTACATGTTTTTGGACGATGAGTAAAACTTGCTTTCTTTAATGAGGGTGAATAAAACGGGCTGTCATGAAGCGCATCATCAGCTTTGTTGAAGGTCTTTCCGACATCAATGGTTACACAAGGTACCCGAAAAGCTAACATCCTGCATGTAACTTCAGGACACTCTGGGACCTGCAAAATAATTTGTACAATGTTGCACTTTATCACGACCCGAGAGCATGTTCTTGTGCCTCAGAATCCTGCCGGCATGACAAGGGACCAAAGGTAAGTCACACCGAGGAGAGGGACCAAGGTCGAGGCCCGCCAAATCCGTGCCATGTCAGGAGCAGGCCCCTCATTTGACCTGTTTTAATCTTCTGGCTCACATTTTATAAAGAAATCAATGGGTCAGCCGCATCCACTCATAACCACAAGTAAGTGTGGCATATCGCGTTCGCTCATTATCTGTAAGCTGGCCTCATGTGATTTCCAATGATAAGCGTACATTACCCTATTTGGTGTGACTGCCGCTGACAAATAGACCAGTCGAGATGGCATGCACACCATGTCCTCTCGCATCATATGCCATTTGGCAAGCATTCTTTCTCAGTGTTCCTTGAATTATTGCTCGTCAGGAGTAAATGATGATTATCAGGGACGCAGGCAGGGGGACGGAGGATACAGAGGTACAGGCTCCCCATCCCGTTTGCCAGGGTTTTGGGTCCCTTATGCTCTTGGAACCGAGGATCAATAGACTGATTGGAGGGCCCGAAGGGTCCGAATGGCTGGCCGGAAGTCGTATTAACACGCGCTTGCGTGGGGGGAGGCAAAATATTTCAGTCTTAAATGAAGCTTTTCATCTCTGAGATAGTTTCTCAGACAGTTTGACGAATGAATTTAGGACAAAGACAACTGTCAATGACCTTGGGTCAGGTACTGAGGTCACACGGGGGGTCGAAACCGGTCTGCCTTTTTATTGGATGATTTTCTTAATGGGATAGCTTTTGATGCCCATTTCGAATTTCCTGGTGACAGGGACGACAGCAGACATCCTCCCTGAACTTCTTGAAAGCCATAGGAGGTCGCTGACCCAATACGACGCTGATCAATCTTTTTGTTTTGAAGAACACGCCGCCTAGCGTAATCATTGAAGGTTGTCCGAATTCAAAACTAAAGTAATATCACCTATATTTGGCCACCATAAGCTTGTTAGGGTCAAAAAAGGTCACTGACCTGCATTGAACCCATATTATATTTGGCTTAGAACAGGCATCTAGGCTTGAGGCGGCTGCATGAAAGATCTGGGGCACTTTGGACACCAATCTGGAGTTTGACCTTGTTTGGTCGTATTTGGCCTTGATATTATGACCTAGAAACCTCAAATTTCGATACAAACTAGCTCACATCTCGCATACCTACCATGAGAATTAAGTTTTTAACTCTCTTAGTTTTTTTTTTAGTTTTCAGAGAGGTGAACTTGACCCCCACTCGAGCGCGTCGTATCCAACCGGCCACCCGGGCACGTGTTACGGAACACCGGCATGCAGGACCACGCCGTAAAATGCCAGCCAGGGGACCTCACGCGTCGGTCAAGATCTCACGGGACCCTCATGTCCTCTTGGCCAGTCAGAGACCGCCAACAATGAGCAGCGGGCTCCGTGCCGGGCTGGACCCTGGGGGCCGATTTCTCCGAGCAGACAAGGCCTGGACCGTAAATTGCATTATTCGGTGTCCCTGCAACAATGAGGGGGCTCCTATGTCGGCAGGGCCCACATTGGCTAATGGGGGCTCTGTTTTGGAAACGGGCTCTGGGTCTGCCAGGTGCACATTCGCCCAGCAGTGAGAGGGACAAGGCCTTGAATGTGAGACAGCCTGCTGCCTTGGGCGGGGCCCTCTCGCATTGAAGTGAAACATGGAGGCTCGGGATCAAAGAGCCGGCAATAGAGGATGGAAGAGCCCCGGGTCAGTCAGAGGCCCAGGCACGGAACGGTGCCCCGCCCGCCCCGTTTCAGCCAGGGGCCTGGTTAAACCGAACTGGAGTTTTTGTGCCACTTATTGGACGCCTTACGCCGACAATAACAAATACAGTAGCATCAATGGGGGCCTCCGCGTCGATCTGTGGGAACTGCCCCGCACTCAGTTCGCGCAGCTGCCAACTCCTCGGCCTTACTGAATTCTATACAATCCTACCTATTGTTGAAGATCTGTAGTTTTTCCCTTGGAACTACATTTTCACTCCTAAGTTCTATACACACACTATGCACCTTCCCTAGCTCCTCCTCACCATCTCCCGGTTAATAAGCTCACACCTGCATTCACACTTTCTTGCCCTAGCACTGATTCAAAATAAATAAACGAGCACTTAAACCACTCAGAACTCTGTTTGACAAGCTGGTTATAACTCGAACTTTAAGTAATCTTACACTATCTTCTGTTAACTCCGAAAACGCTACCTATGTCTGGTCAATGAAGAACTACACAGCACAGTCAATGCTCACTTAAACCGAAAAAAGCTATTAAGCAATGCAAATATATACTTATAGCTTGAGTACCCTGGCTGTAACTGATAATGCCCTAGAACCTGTAACACCACCTATCATCTAAAGCCTAACTTTATCACTAAGCTGATGCCCACCACACTTCAAAACTGACAAGAAAATAGGCAGAGGCTTTCCTCATCAACAAAAAATGGTCCAAAACTTAAAGCAACCACCCTCAAAATTCATATACACCTTTCTATTTCTTAATGTAACTTAAATTAGTAAGTGCACTTGCGAGGCACGTTATTCACGCAGATACGACAGTAGCAATAACTTTGTTCTAGGAGAGAAAAGACAACAGGAGAATGGAGATATAGATGCGTTGATCTTTCGGCAACATGACTCTACCGAATTATTATAGATATATTATATGCTATAATATATTATAATTAGCAGAATTATAACGCGGAAATACACAAACTTAAGCTGTAATACGCCCTGAGACTCACACTGCACGACCAACGCTGCTCAACTTCACGCGCCCTTGCTCGTGACAAGCTCCGGAGGCCGATCTGCGACGTTATTACAGCGTCATGAATGCCTGGGTGACCAGGAAAAAGTCTCCTCGAAATAATCTGTACATCTTTGCGCGGTGTAGCTCAGAAACTAAAATGCTTCACGTCTTAAGAAGGGTAGAGCTGTGAACTGCACCGAATGATCTTAGCCATTTCACTTCAAAATCCCATACAAATGTGGAACACCCCTTCGAACCGATGATGGCTCAAAGGCCGCACGCGGGGTTGTGTCTCGCAGCGGGAGCGTTTACGCAGGCCATCGCCTGCTCCAGGTTGTCATCGAAGGCGTCCCCGCCGCCGACCACGTGACCGATGCTGCCGTCGTTGACGTCACCCTGATGCATGGAGACGAATGCGGCGCGTCTGCGGAGGGTATCGTCCGGGCCACGATTCACCGAAGGTGAGAGGCGGCGGGCAGTGTGCACCGCCGGTGACAGAGGCGGTGGACGCTGTGCAGCGCCGATGATGAGAGGCGGGGGGCGGTGTGCAGCGCCGATGATGAGAGGCGGGGGGCGGTGTGCAGCATCGATGATGACAGCCGACGGGCAATGTGCAGCGTCGATGTGAGGCAGCGGGCAGTGTGCAGCGTCGATAATGAGAGGCGACGGACAGTGTGCAGCGCCGATGATAGGCGGTGGGCGCTGTGCAGCTCCGATGATGAGAGGCGGAGGGCGGTGTGCAGCGTCGATGATGAGAGGCGACGGGTGGTGTGCAGTGTCGATGTGAGAGGCAGCGGGCAGTGTGCAGCGTCGATGATGAGAGGCGACGGGCGGTGTGCAGCGTCGATGGTGAGAGGCGACGGGGTAGTGTGTAGCGTTGATGTGAGGCAGCGGGCAGTGTGTAGCGTCGATGATGAGAGGCGGTGGGCAGTGTGTACCGCCGATGACAGAGGCGGTGCGTGCTGTGCAGCGCCGATGATGAGAGGCGGAGGGCAGTGTGTACCGCCGATGACAGAGGCGGTGCGTGCTGTGCAGCGCCGATGATGAGAGGCAGAGGGCAGTGTGTACCGCCGATGACAGAGGCGGTGCGTGCTGTGCAGCGTCGATGATGAGAGGCGGTGGGCAGTGTGTACCGCCGATGACAGAGGCGGTGCGTGCTGTGCAGCGCCGATGATGAGAGGCGGAGGGCAGTGTGCATCACCGATGGGGAAAGGTGGCGGGCAGAATGCACCGCCGATGGGGAGAGGCGGCGGGCGGTGTGCACCGCCGATGGGGAGAGGTGGCGAGCGGTGTACAGCGCCGATGGGGAGGGGCGGCAGCGATGTGCGCCGCCGATAGGGAGGGGTGGCGGGGCGATGTGCACCGCTGATGGGGAGGGGCGGCGGGCGGTGTGCACCGCTGATGGGGAGGGGCGGCGGGCGGTGTGCACCGCTGATGGGGAGGGGCGGCGGGCGGTGTGCACCGCCGATGGGGAGAGGCGGCGGGCGGTGTGCACCGCTGATGGGGAGGGGCGGCGGGCGGTGTGCACCGCCGATGGGGAGGGGCAGCGGGCGGTGTACAACGCCGATAGGGTGGTGTACAGGCAGGCGATGTGCACCGCCCATAGGGAGAGGTGGCGGGCGGTGTGCACCGCCGATGGGGAGAGGCGGCGGGCGGTGTGCACCGCCGATGATGTGAGGCAGCCAAGGAGGGGGAGTGGTAGGGAGGGGGAAGGGGCTGACAGGCGCCGGTGAGCGAGGGATATGTGCTAGCCGGCGTGAGGGGCCCTGTGCCAGCGCTCCAGTTTCCTGGCGTCTCACTCATCACTCATCTGGAGTGGAAATGACATGGCGTCTGACACAAATACGGTGAGGAAAGACCTGGCGTCTGAAACGGCTGTGATGAGGAGTGACCAGGTGTCTGACACAGCTGTGGTGGTGAATGTCGTGGAGTCTGACACATATGTTGCGTGACTGCACAGTAGAAAGTCATCCGGCGTCTGTCACATCTTTGGTGAGGTGGTCTCTTGAAGCTGCTGGGGGAAGGGGAGCAGAGCCTGACAGCTACGGCGCGGGGGACCGGGAAGAGGAGGAGGAGGGGGGGGGGGGGCGGAGTGGTGCCACCGAGGCTGACGTGGCTGCGGCGGGAGGCGAGTACTGGCCGCACGGCCAGGCCGAGAAGCCGCATTGACGCCCTCCCCCCCGCCCCCCCACCCCACCCCCCACGGAGCCATTGTTGTCAGAGAGGTGACACAGCAAGACTATTCGGCGCAAGCAGCACCGATCGCGGGGTAGAGAGAGGACCACAGCGGCCACCATGGGCTGCGTCCAGCCCTTGCCCTGATCTGAACAGCACCCATGAAAAAGCTGCGAGGCTTCGCAGGCGCAATGGTGTCGGTGGTTTCTGTTCTCTTCCTCGATGGCTCGGATTGTTTATTTTCTGTCACTTCAGAGGACTGGTGTGCTGAGATTGCGGCGCAGACGATAACCTCTAGCCTAAATGGCCTAAGTTGAGCAAGAGCTTACTGTAAGCCCTGGGTCAGACAGCTTATGGTGGGTTTAATCGACTCGTGAAACTCAACGAAGTGGCCGGCGGCGGCAAAGTCACCCTTTCTGGTTTAGAACGCCCTCAGAAGGACTCAACCACACGTGGACTAGTCCGCTGGGTGGTTCACGAGCTACAGCATTCACGGAATCTAGCAGAAGGGCTTAACAGAAGATGCTAATGGTTGCATCCTTACAAAAAAGGCTTTCAAATCTTTGCATTTCAAGGTCGGACAACTGCACGCGAGGTTGTTGTGAAACCTGCACAGTGCTTTGTAACATTCATGATGTGATCTCCCGTGACTATCTTATTTGTTTTTGCTCTTTCGTGCTATATCTGTAGATCCTGAATGCATGCATTGTCGTGTTTTATTATTCACCGCACCACAGCTGTGCCGTGGTGTCCCACGTAGGACTCATCCAAGATGCAGCCGTCTTTTGGCACTATTTTTCATTTCTTAGAGAGCTGATTACCGCAGGCCTGATGCGTCACAAGCTGAGTCGATACCGTTGATGTGAAACATTAATAAGCAGTTTGGCGAACATGGGTTTGGTGTCATTTTGTTAATGCCGAGTTCTAATGTCACCGAATGATATCCTGTGGCAACAGTGATTTATCACTGCCCACAAAGAAAATGAAAACCTTTACCGTTGCAAGATGTCACAGATCGTCCAAAGCAGTTTAGATTACCTCGTGAAATGGGCCTTGAAACCAGGCCTCGAAATAAGACAATCTGGTTGTCTCAAAAGCTAGGGCATACACGATTCTTTCACAGGGATCACAGCTACGCGAACAGTGCAGGGCCTGCTCACAGCGCATCGCAGTCCAGATTTCGGCGTGTGGTAATAGTGACCAGCGTTGAAGCGTTCCACCAATAGTGGCCACTTGGCTGACTCAGAATGTCGCCAATACTCCGCCCACTTTCTACGGTTATAGGCTGTTTATTTGCGGCCGCTCGGCCAGCGGCGAGATAGCCACGCGATGCGGCGGATTCCCTTGATTCCCTTGAGTTCCTGCAGATTCAAGACGCGCATCGAGTCGAGATTTTCCCTAGACCTGCTGCAACAGGCGTAAGTAATAACAGTCTGGAATACTATGGGTCAAATTGTGTTAAATTGGCTCACCTCGCACCCCTCTTCGGCGTGCCCACCTGCTAGTCGGCTCAGGTGGTCGTCAATCTTGAAAACCTAGAATGCCAGCTCCAGGGGACCTAGAATGTCATTACAGTGTTGTTGAACCATTCAGAGGCTACAGTGGAGAGAGTCCGGTGGTCTCAACTGTTGCCTGCTGAAAACTACTGTTGAATCGCCCGGTCAGTGATTGATCCGCCTTCTGACACACTGCTGGACATCGTTGCGACAAACCCCTCAAATCAAGTGGCGCGCGCCGGGTCGGCCCAGTGTCACCCCGATAACCGACACGACTACACCGCCGTGCCTCGCTCCAACGGCTGGATCAGACGGACTGGCCGCACCGCCCAGCGAGGACGCATGCGGATGATGGACCGAATGGCTTCCATCAGCAGCCGGTCAGCTCCGGTTAGAGTCCCGCTCTCTTGTCACAGTAGACCGCTGGGGTATCCGCGTACAGGTACGACCACGTGGAGCACATACTTCTTGGTGGAACACGACGGGTGCTCACAGGCCGGTGGCAGATTCTGGAGCTTGGTGACCAGCGTGGCTACAGCAGGTACCTGAGTCGGCAGTGTCCGCGGCTGTGCGGAGGAGAGACCAGGCGGCTCACCTGCTGCGAGGGGGAGAACAGGCAGCTCGCCTGCAGTGAGGCAGAGACCAGGCGGCTCACCTGTAGCGAGGCAGAGACCAGGCGGCTCACCTGCTGCGAGGGGGAGACCAGGCGGCTCGCCTGCAGCGAGGCAGATACCAGGCGGCTCACCTGTTGCGAGCGAGAGAACAGGCGACTCACCTGAAGCGAAGGGAGAGAACAGGCGGCTCACCTGCAGCGAGAGAGACCAGGCGGTTCGCCTGCTGCGAAGGGAGGGAACAGGCGGCTCACCTGTAGCAAAGGGAGGGAACAAGCGGCTCACCTGCAGCGAGGGCTCGACAGAGCGGGGGCCGAGCAGCGTCTAGCCGCACAGTGGCCCATCATCGGCAGCAAGGAAGGTGTGTCAGCGCCCAGTGCTGCACCGGACGCGCTGAATGACTACTGTGTCAGTATCGGCTCCCATCACTGCCACCAGTGTACCCAGACCTGCGACACCGGTGCTGGAAAAAGCTGTCGCCGAGTAGCAGCCAGCAGCTTCAGACATGAACTGGTCGACATCGGATCCGATGCGGACGAGCCCTTATATTAATCGTGCTAGCCATGCTGATAAATTTGCCGCCTGCCTCACTGAATTTATTGGGCACTGACTTGATCAATACGGACAAGACGTAAAAATGTGAAGTTCCCCCTACAGTTGTTTCAGTTTTTGGCAGTTTTTTGACCACGCCACTGATCTCGACGACCCGACGAGAGCGTGGCTGGTATCAGGTGCAATGTTGATGTGACCTGCTTCAGAGTCGCGGTAACCCGCGGCATAATGCCACAAGCGATGAAAGCCTGACCCACTAAGGCTCATCACTGGATCTCGGCAGTGAATGGGTGGAATTTAAAGATGGAAGAAATATTATTGAAATCAGACAAAGTCACACTCCAGATTGGTGTCCAAGGTGTTCCCGGACTATTTCGTGCAACCACCGTGAACCTTAAAACCCTAAAAAGCTCACTAGTTCTCATCTAAGAGCGGTAACCTTGTTTAACCTTTCAAAGGTCAAAGTGACCCAAAATCATACAAGACTGTCTTTATTTTTGCATTTGGATAAGCATCAAAGATGGCTCCAAGCAGTATATGCCTAAAAACGAAACGTTGGTCTGAGTCATTTTAAGTCAGTG